TGCATCTTCCAAATCCACTTCGAACGCGTACATGCCGAAGCCTCCCGCCTGTTGACGAATTTTCGACGCTGGAACTGTCTTGAATAGGTCAATAAAATTGTGCGGGCGATTTAAACGGCTTCATTTTGATGGATGATCGGTTCAGTGGGGTAAGCCTGCAGAAATTCTGGCGGGCCGATGAACATGAGAGGTAATCAGCAGGCTTGGGCAGGTTTACGTTCAATGACATTTGCGAGGTATGTGGGGAGATGGTTTCTCGCGAAAGTTTTACTACTGATGGGGTTCAACCGTTGACTTAATGACGCTCTATTGGCCAAAACTAGAAAAAAAAAAACATCCTGTAGGGAGGTTCACATCATAGTACACCTGTCGTTGAGAGCTTCTGCGTTCTTCCTGTTGGCGAGGGTAGGGTGTTTAACGCCTCCCTCCCCTCCCCCCCCCCTGGTGCTTGTTCATAAGTCTACTTTGTACCTTATTTGGGTAGCTGTGGTTTATAACGGTTTGTCCGGTGGTAGGTCACGAAAGGGGCAATGCGATATGCGGATTTCCACCCTTGCTAGCGTTACTGACGTTAAAGTTGGGCGTATCAGGCTCAGGGTTGGGGTTAGGACTACAGTTAGGCTTACTGTTAGGAGCTGGGTCATTCTTGGGACCAGGGTTGCCGGTCTTCGGTTACGGTTTGGATTTGGGGGTTAAGATTAGGGTTGGGGTTTTGGCTTATGATTAGGGGTTAGGGTTTTAAGGCTTGTGTTAGGGTAACGGTTACGTTCGAGTTTTCTTTAAAGGCTTACGTGTTAAAGGTTACCCATTACAGGCATGGACACAGTTAGCGTCAGGGTTGCAACTAACCACAGTTTTCTCAGGGGGTTTGCATATAATGTTCTAATCTTCATATCATATAAGGAATTGTGGCCGGGGTCTGATGCTCATTCAATGCTGGCATACCTTCGGTGGACGCCTGTACACCCTCAACTCAGGCGTATTGCTAATAACTGGGTTACTACGGAAAATCACCCATATTAATTGTCGAATCTGGGGTTCCACAGTCTATCCTTACATCAGTAGTGTTCGAAAGATGTTGCGTCACTTTTCAGGTTTGTGGATGCAAGGAGTAGAGGTAGTTGTCTACCTCTTTTAAATAGAATTTAATAGCCCTTTGGCGCGTTTTTTGTACGTATATACATTTAAACTGGCTTTTTGTCTCCCTTTTAATGTGGCGGTTTACCAAAGGCAGTTGCCTAAGTCACTCCCCGATGGGACACCCTTCGGCCGTCTTGGACTCTTCCTGATATTGGGACCGCTGCTACGCTTAGAATTTCGACTATCCTCAAATAAGGCAGGTTCCGTCTTTCCATATGTTTTGTTATGATCTAATTCAACCAGAAAGTCGCCACTTCTATGATGGGGCATTGGATGCGTGCGGCGATATCGACAGCTGCATTACCGAGCCGCTCAACGGGTATAAGTGCCTACAATGACATGCCAAGTCCTAGCTTTAGGTAATTATTGTTGCTCTTTACGGGAAGCAGTAAGGGATTTGTCGCCTGACGAGGAGATGTTTTTCATGCACTACGCTTGCTTTTTAGCCAGAATCAAATAGCTCATCAATTTGTGTCCTTACGGCTGTTCATGCCAGCAAATGTGAATTCGTTGGGCAGTTGCCCCGGAAGTGTCTCGATTCAGGACATGCAAGGGAGTATTAAGATGCAAATTTAAAATGTAAAATATAAATCCACACCCCAATCCCATCACGAACTCTCCATGATTGCCCAGGACGACAGCCACTTGAATTTCGGTACAGGAGCGCAGCGCAGCGCAGGCGCGTTAGGCGCCCCACACGCAGTGGCTTTCCGTGAGTGCGTGCTCCGATCACGTGATCTTGCAGGATTGGTGGGAAAGGCTCCAATAAATGTAACAGTTGACTCACGGTGGGCGTCCCTTGTTCAGGCCGACCGTTCAGCTGTAGCAACGCGCTGCCCGCGTGACGGAATCGAGGGGCCTGGGCGGTTCTTTTGATGTCCACACCGCGGATTCTGCCAAATCCAGGGCAGCCAGTGGTGAGGGAAATCGAAAGCGAAATGGTATCGAAATGTAAAGCCTACTTTACTGGGACAAAATAGAGCTAGGAAATTGCAGAGAACAGCGAAGTATGTGTAGATAATGCTGGAATCGAAACTGAAACGGCCTCATCAACTGCCTGTATGCAAATTAGAGTGGATCACATAACATGTGCTGATATATCACGTTCTTACCACATCTGCAGAGTCAAGAAGATGCATATCACAAGCCGTCATTTTCTGCTGCATTGTCTTCGTGCATGTGGACGCAGAGTATGAAGCGTTTGCATTGAAATTTGTCGAGGATGCTCCAGGCTTCGGTCAGGTTGTCCGCAGTCACTTTCGAAATAAATGTGGAGGAGAAAATATTTAGTCCAGATATTTTATTCAGTTAACTGAAGTAGTTGTTGAGGTGTCCCATGTTGCCTTAAGAATACATAGATATTTTGGCATATTTAGAATAAATAATATTGACACAACTGTGAAAAACTCGGCGCCTCGGTGGGATTCAAACTCACGCAGTAAGGGGAAGGCTTTGGTACAACCAGCTCTCTAACTACTCGAGCTACGAGGCCTCGCCGGACGACGCGAGTTTTATCACATTTGGGTCAAGTTACCCGCCCAGCCTACTGCAACGTCTGGAATCCACCAAATCTGATACAGTAAGTTGACTGCCCAAGCAGGATTTCCTAAGTAATTCACCTAGAATCCACCAGATAACTACCAGCCTCACGTAATTCATAGATGTTTTGGCAGATTTTGAATAATTCAGATTGACCCAAATGGGAAAAACTCGGCGTCTCGGTGGGATTCGAAGTCGCGTCGTCCGGCGGGACCTCGTAGCTCAAGTGGGTAGAGCGTTGGTTGTACTAAAGCCTTTACCTTACTGCGTGGGTTTGAATCCCACCGAGGCGCCGAGTTTTTCACAGTTGTGTCAATATTATTTATTCTAAATATGCCAAAATATCTATGTATTCTTAAGACAACATGGGACACCTCAACAACTACATCAGTTAACTGAATAAAATATCTGGACTAAATATTTTCTCCTCCACATTTATTTCGAAAGTGACTGCAGACAACCTGACCGAAGCCTGGAGCATCCTCGACAAATTTCAATGCAAACGCTTCATACTCTGCGTCCACATGCACGAAGACAGTGCAGCAGAAAATGACGGCTTGTGATATGCATCTTCTTGACTCTGCAGATGTGGTAAGAAAGTGATATATCAGCACATGTTATGTGATCCACACTAATTTGCATACAGGCAGTTGATGAGGCCGTTTCAGTTTCGATTCCAGCATTATCTACACATACTTCGCCGTGCTCTGCAATTTCCTAGCTCTATTTTGTCCCAGTAAAGTAGGCTTTACATTTCGATACCATTTCGCTTTCGATTTCCCTCACAACTGGCTGCCCTGGATTTGGCAGAATCCGCGGTGCGGACATCAAAAGAACCTAGGTCCTAGGCGACTGATGCGGATCGATCAGTACCGATTATTCCCAATACAACCGGTGAGGCTGGTGACTAGCTGGAACAGATACGATTGGAGGCGTATCATTTGAACAACTAGTGCGGATTACTACTACGAGTATCCAAAGGCTCTCAGTACGCCCAGCTGTCAATTAGAACGGATAGTTAGTGAGCCTCACACATGCTTTGCTGAGTTGGCACGGGTGAGGATGAGGGGACACTGCCTCGGCAGAAGTATACATGTAGGCTATGCAAAAGCAGTATCCCTCCCTCCCGAGGTTCCTCGAGACGTATGGCCAAAAATTCAGGAATAGCTGTCAAAATAAATCGCAGTGGCTGACGAGTAGAGATACAAAAACCCCAAAAGTGTACTTATCAGTCTGGTTGAGAGGAAAGGAAGATGTG